ATCATCATGTTTACCCTTTTTATGTATCGGCCTAATGAGACCTATCTTTAGCCTATCTGGATATATTGATCGAGTAATACATGTGTTAATTAAGTGAGTGAGCACTGGGGTCAATTTGTCAGATACGTATTTAATGTCTGTTGCCCTTATTTTGTCGTGCCCTGGACTTTTTTTTTATTAATAATTTGACTATTTTATGTAAAGTTTCTTCATTAATTTTCTTAAGTCTTAACGACATTATTGGTGTATTTATGTATGTTTTCTCATTCAATAATGGCTCATTACAAGTGTTAATAACATTCTTAACATTGTTATCAAAATCGCGTGCAAACTTATTTGTTAGTATTTTTGCGGGTAGCTTGAAATATTTAAGAAGCAAGTAATCAATCGATTTAACAATTCTACCGGTCAATTTATTAATAATATTTCATAACTCCCTTGGGTTCACATAAATAAAATTATCACATATATCCTTTTTGATCGAGTTATTTCTAGCCTTGTTTAACATCCAATTAGTTTTATTTCTATATCTTTTGTATACTAGTTCATTTTGTTTATTGTTTGTGTCGCTTAAGTGTATTTTCAATAGTTCTTTTTTTCTATTACTCATTGATATTAATTTCTCGGTTATCCAATTACATTCGTGTTTCTTTACATTTATTATTTTGGATTGATAGGTACATTTTTTATAGACTGACTGTATTTTATTTACAATAAAATCAATTATTTCGTTGGGTTCGGCGCAGCCGAGTGCAGGTTTCCAATCAATGCTACTTAGTTCCTTTTTTACTTCATCATTATTTAATCTATTTACAACTTTATAACTGTTTTTGCATCTGGAACTGGTTACCGTTAGGCCTGTTATGAAATGATCGGCTAATGAGTCACACACAACCGCAGCATGTATTGAGTGACCTCGCGTACCTCGGCCGCACACGTCACGAACGAACAAATGATATATACATGATTTAGATGTGGCATTTATATTCGTCTCGATTCTGGTAAATTGTGTTATACAGCTTTCAAAACCCAGTCCGTTTAGGCTGTTAAGGTAAGACTTGACAGTATTATTTGTACAACTTATATCTATGTTAGTATCGCCTGCTAAGATATAATTCACGTCTGTAGGATACGAGGATAAAAACTGTGTTAGTTCATTTAAGGCATATCTTGATGAAATGGCGTCATCACAAAATATGTATAGTCGCCGACATTGTTAAAATGTATCGAATGGTAAAAGTAGCAGACAATGATACAGATTTCCAGAGAATTGTCTGGAGATTTGATCCGTCGACTCCTATACAATGTTACAAATTGTTACGTTTAACATTCGGGACAGCATGTGCGCCATATCTAGCTGTCAAGGTATTGCACCGACTCGCTGAGTTAGAAGAGAAGAAGTATCCATTAGCGGCGAAAATAACAAAACAATGTTATTATATGGATGACTTGTTGGCAGGGTGTGACACGGTAGATGAGGCAATTAAAATTTATGAGGAAATGAATGAATTGATGAGGAGTGGGGGGTTTGAGTTACAAAAATGGAGTAGCAATAATTACGAGTTCCTAGAGCAGATTGGGAAAACTGAGTCGAGTGATAGTTCAACTGTTAAACTGAATGATATAATCAAAGTGTTAGGTTTGAGATGGAATAGGAAGAATGATAATTTTGAATACGTAGTAAACTTACCTGAATCTAAAAATATAGTCACTAAAAGACAAGTCTTATCCGAAGTAGCGAGGTTGTATGACCCTTTAGGTTGGATTGCGCCCGTTGTAGTGAAAGCTAAGATTTTTATTCAGAAACTATGGAAATCTGATCTTGGATGGGATGAGAATTTGATGGATAAATTACTTAGTGAGTGGCTGAAATACAGGCAAGAGCTAATAGATTTTGAAAATCTTAAAATACCTAGGTGGATAAATTTTACACAAAAATGCAAGAGAGAGTTACACGTATTTTCAGATTCTTCAAAATCTGCTTTTGCGGCTGCAGTTTATATACGAGTGATTGATAGTTGTAGACTCGAGTAGCCCCAATCATCAAGGAGATTTCAATTCCCCGACTTGAACTAAGTGGTACTACTTTAGCAGCTAAACTTATATGTGAAGTATCACAAGTTTTAGAAGTTCCAAGAGAACATATGTATGAGTGGACCGACTCCACAATAGTGTTAGCGTGGCTCAAGGGAGGCTCAAGTCGCTGGGCTACATTTGTTAGCAACAGAGTGTCCATGATGATATGATATTAAATATTATGGATTACCATCAATGGGGTCATGTTTCGTCAGAGACAAATCCTGCGGACTGTGCATCGCGTGGTCTGAAGCCCAGAGAATTGAGTGAGCATTCTTTATGGTGGAGAGGTCTACATTGGTTATCAGAACCTACAATACCCACAGAGAGTAAATTGATAGAAGACACACACGAAGAACTACGTATCCAATCTTTATCCGTTGTAGCTGAAGTTAATGAAGAATTTATTTGGTTAAAATATTCGTCTTTGAATAAACTTTTTAAAATTGTGTCCTATTGTAGACGAATTTTTAAACTATAAATTAAAGAAAGATAATAGACCTAAACTACATAAGTTTATCACACCAAATGAAATGAAGGAAAGTTTATTATCATGCATTAAACAAGTACAGAGGCGTGAATTTTCATTAGAAATTAAGCGGATAAAGACTGGAGAGTGTGTGCCTAAGAAGAGTAAATTAAGATCTCTTTGCCCCATTTTAGACCAAAATGGGATACTAAGAGTAAGTGGTCGAATAGCACAATCGGACGCGTGTTATGACATGAAGCATCCTATAATTATGCCTGGTATGATGGTTACATCATCTTACTAAGGTTTTAGTTGCAGATGCTCATGCAAAAACATTGCACGGTGGTCCACAGGTTATGTTAAAATATCTGAGATCCAAGTACTGGATATTACGTGGTAAGGAACACGTTAAAAAATATTTTAGAGAGTGCACTATTTGTTTGAGATATTCCACTAGGAAGACTACTCCTTTAATGGGTCTGCTACCAGAGGCAAGGTTGAAACCCAGTAAGCCCTTCAATTGTACTGGTGTAGATTACTGTGGTCCTGTTTCTATCAGATTTTCACCAGGTAGAGTGGTGCAAAATCTTACAAAGGTTATATTTGTATTTTCGTGTGTATGGTTACGCGAGCAGTTCATCTATAAGCAGTAACGGACATGACTGCCAAAGGTTTCATTGCAGCGTTTAGACGTTTCACTGCTCGTCGAGGTCATTGTAAAGATCTGTACAGTGACAATGGTACTAATTTTATTGGTGCTGATAAGCAAATGAGAGAAATGTTTAATAGTGCCCAATCTTCTCTGTCTGGAGAAGTACCTGAGTTACTTTCTTTAGAAATAAACACTTGGCATTATATCCCTCCCCACTCGCCTAACTTTGGTGGGCTGTGGGAATCTTCGGTACGTGGTACTAAAACTCATTTAAAAAAGGTAGTGGGAAATAGTACGCTTACCTACGAAGAAATGTCAACTGTCCTAGCGCAAGTAGAGGCGTGCTTAAATTCGCGACCAATTTCTTTGTTAAGCGATGACCCAAACGACCCTCTACCTCTGACACCAGGCCATTTCTTGGTAGGCGAACCATTAATTAATATTGCGGATGAGAATTAGGTACACTAATTGTAATGTTATTGGTTTGGAAAGATGGCGATTGACACAAAAAATTGTAACAGATTTTTGGAAGCGGTGGTATAAAGAGTATCTGGTTAATTTAAATCAAAGATATAAATGGAACACTAAACGTGATGAACCAGAAATAGGCGATATTGTTGTGTTAAAAGAAGATAATATGCCACCAGCTAAATGGTTACTTGGTAAAATTATTAAAAAGTATCCTGGACCTGATAACATAACCCGAGTTGTATCTGTAAAATGTAAAACTGGAGAGTATTTAAGCGTCCAGTAAGCAAAATTTGTATTTTAACTAAATGACCTCTTGTTAATAATTTTCTGTTATACATTTATTAAGTTGTTTCTTAATTCAGAGTTTACGTTACTTACCAATCTAATCAAATGAAGTATAAAAAATGCTATGTATTAATATAATGTTATAGTGCTAATTATAAGATGAGTTCTACTAAATGTACTATTTACTTACACACTTAAGTTCTGTTGAGATTGATGAATCTATAATTATAATCTATAACCTACTTATAAAACCTGTTTGTTATCAATGTACTATATAATGTTAAGAAAGTTAGAGGTTATGGGTTTTCATTTAATTTTTAGTGAAGTATAGGGTTTTTTTGTTTGATCTGGTCTATTGTGTATAATTATGTTTAGTTAAAGAACTATGTTCTTTGGCGGGCGGAATGTCCAAATAGTTTTGTTCAAAAAATATATAAAACTTTTTATTGTGAAACCATAAAGATAGCTATGAGTGACAGATGTCATATTTATTACAGTCCACTGTGTTTTTTTGTTTAATTTTTTTTAGTAACAAATATATCATTTAAAGTGTAAACGTAGTTTTAAATAAAAAAATCCCAGAAAACATAAAATTCACTATTAAAAGGTGTAAGTTTCAACACTTACTGTTTGATGGTTTTTACCATTACGATTTTTGAGTGAAATAAATTCACTCATTCATTATTTTTTATATATTCATTCGTTTCTTTTACCCTAGGCATGTGGTGCAGCAGGCGCTGTGTATGAGGATCCCGGAGCTGAGCTATATTTAGAAGAACTTGTACTTACTGAAGGTTGCCAAGAGGATGGTTTTATATATGGGACTCATAAAATAAATAGTTAAAAGTGGTGTTACGTTGTACAGTGGCATTAAGTGCCGTAATGTGCACCTCTGCCTACCCCTTCGGGGATAAAAGGCGTGGTGTTATGTTGATGTTGATTTATAATTAGACTACAATCTCATATGAGGTTATAGAACAGATCAATTTCAACAATTTTGTCAAACAAAAGGATAGGCGGAATTGAACGGTAATTAAAATATTCAACTTTTAGTTTTCATTTCAAAATGACGCCCGCGGTAACTCTAAAACTGAAGAAACAAAAACGAAATTCTGAACTAATAGTTTATTTACCAGTTGTAATCATCAAATACACAATAATCATATTATTAACTAAAATCGCGGGCTACTCATATCAAAATAATGAGAAACACATAGACATCGCCGCTACCGCGCACGCCGCTCGCGAGGAAGAACCCCTCTGTGGTCCGAGACTAGTAGAACTTTTCTCAGTATCTTCACATGAGTAACCCGCAGTTTTAAGTTAATTTAGCATGTCTCACCATTATAGTTATGATTACTGTTATTATAAAAACATATATCTTATTATAATAACAATTATTATCCAAAGATACCTTTGAAGTCCCCAACAAATAACATGATATTTCCGTAACCAAAATTCTTGAAATTATCTTGAAAAGTATTTGTTGGTGAATTGGTATGTTGATATACTTGATAACACGGTATAAATAAGCAAGCTATTGGAGCACCTGTAACAAAGTAAGTGTGTGTTTAATATACACGTTTATGTCAGGAACAGGGCAAGAAGTTGTGTTCGAGGTTTTCATCGATCACCGTATTCAGCAATATCGGCGTGACTCGCCGTTCTAAGTAAATATGTATTATTATATATTCAGTGCACTTTCGTCTACCGCGACCACCGGATGCATTCAAACATTTTAAACATTTCATCCTAGATTAGTTAACATTAAGAACATTTGTGGGAAATAATAATAAACAGTGTGATTCACATAAACATCAATTTCTCTCCCTAAACATCAAACACCGACAGCTAACTACGTACTCCTACATATTTTTTGATCCTTCGAGCCGGATCGGACCACGCGTCGCGTAATTTCGAATATTCTGTGTGCGCGGTCTGAACTATCCGAACAATCTAAAAGTGGATGCGTCGGGAGCTGTCGGAGCCAACAGAAAAGCAGAACAGCGGAGCAGCAGAAAGGGCTGAGTACCTACCAACAGCGGAGAAAACAAGTAATAAATTTCCTTATTTTTAGTCAGTAAGGATTTCCCGTTACAATCCAAACATGTCGGATTTAATTGACGCTCAAGCAATTCTCTACGATAGCATTGTAAAACTTGGCGTTAACATAAAGAAGGATAGTGCCGATAGGAAAACAGTGGATTATTTTAAGCGTAAGCTGAGTACGTTGGAGAAATATTGGGCAGAATACAAGCTCAATCATGAGCGCATTGAGCTATGAGTAAATAAATCTGATCCTTATTTTACTGATCGAGAAAACGAAAAAACAAGCACTGTGCATGAGTCCACCGAGGGACTGATCAACCAACAATACCAGCTACGGGCCATGAAAACCGGAAACCTTACAACAGGTGAGCAAACAACAGCTCGTGATAGGTCGCCGTCAACCACCCGTATGCGACAGGAAGAAGATGCAAGTAAGGAGATGGAACCTAGCATCTGCAGACAACTGCGTGATCGACCAGCACAAAACTCGGATACGGAACCTAACAGTAAGTTAGACGAGTTGTTGAAAAAACAATATGCAAATTTCAAAGCTTTTGTGCGGACAACCGCAAACATAGATGTGGACTCGATAGTCGATAAGTGGGAATTTGAAGACGTACTGAAATTGCTTCAGGCGAGTTGGTCAGCCATCAACAAGCTCCATTGGGAAATCGAGATTGAGCATGATGGAGAAAATGACCAATACAACAACATGTACGATAAGTATGAAACAAAGTTCAATAACTTGAAGCGGGCTATAAACACAAAAATGTGGTCAGTCGCACACAGAGAAAAATCTACACCTCAATTAGATATACCCAACTTGAACGGGAACTACAACCAATGGGTATCATTCAGAGACCTCTTTACGGAAGTAATCCATAACAATCCCTCGTTGTCGAATGGCCAAAAGATGCAATATTTAAAACTACCTCATACAACATCTGTCAATCAGTACCGACAACTATTTTGTAAGCTGGAATATTTTTACTCATAGGTACAATAACAAGAAATTAATATTTTCTTCTCATA